ATTGTCCTTCTACTGGTAAATGTATAAATAATCTGTGGGGCATCCATACTGTGGAATATTACTCAGCAAGGAGCAAGTACTGACACCCACAACAACATGGACAAATCTCAAAAGCATTATGCTGAGTGAAAGAAGGACACAAAAGGCTACATATAGTCTGATCTCATTTATTTAACATTCTGGGGAAGGAAAAACCACAGGAACATAAAGTAGATCAGTGGTTACATGGGTTGGGTGTTGGGGGTACCAGGGGAGGTTTGGCATCGATAGATCCATTCTATGTCTTAATTATGGTGCTGGTTACACTACTGTATGTTAAACATTTTAAAGGGTGGGTTTTATTATATGTAAATTGTACTTCAACATGAAGAAAAAAATACCCAAGGCTAAAAAGTATGTTTATTCAGTGGATTAAACCCATTAACACTTTTGAGAGGAGAGCACGGTTTCTAGATGTGGCTCCTTTGAATTTCAGCATCTCAGGAGGATGCTGAGGTGTAGAGATAATGTCCAACTTACCTCTCCATGGGCCCACTGCACCTCCCTAGGCAACTTAAGAAGAGCTCTGCGCCTTGGTACACCCATACTTCTACTCGAGGGTTAAAAGATGATGGGTTAATAAATGAAAAGAAACCAGACATTCAGGCTAACAGAAATCTAAATGACTCTGTCCCTTCACTCTACTCTTTTGGTGTTTTCAAATCACTGTCTGGGTATTTGCACGGTTCTGGAAGGCTAGTTTGGAGAATAAACATAGGGGTTTGCTCCTAGTGGAGTGGGGTGGGACAGAAAGGGGCGAAGTGCTGAGAGATAAGGGAAAAATGTGCCACTCATCAGCTCTTTCCAAGCGAATGTTTCTAAAGCAGCGGAAGCAGCTGACTTTTTGCAACCTATCTGCAAAGCTGTTCTTTCTCCAGGGAGTTGCTTCGACTTACATGTTCTTTGCGTATTCCTAGAATTCCACCTTAAAACAAGCTGAACGTCCTTATGGTTGATATCTCAGCACGGAAAAAGTTTTGCTTAAGCAATGACACACTGCAGTTGGATCCTGCTCACCCACATCTGGAAGCCACATGTCAGAGGCGGCTGTATAAAACAGTCAGCCCAGCAAGACATTTTTCGCCATAAGCCCAGGCAGCATGGACCTCACTCTTCTGTGGGTACTTCTGCCCCTGGTCACCGTAGCCTGGGGCCACTACGGTGACTATGGGTACCCGTACCAGCAGTATCACGACTACAGCGATGACGGGTGGGTGAATCTGAACCGGCAGGGCTTCAGCTTCCAGTGTCCCCACGGGCAGGTGGTGGTGGCCGTGAGGAGTATCTTCAACAAGAAGGAAGGTTCTGACAGACAGTGGAACTACGCCTGCATGCCCACACCCCACACTCTCGGGGAACCCTCGGAGTGCTGGTGGGAGGAGATCAACCGGGCTGGCATGGAATGGTAAGAACAGCCTCTCACTCGGGCTGGGAACTTCTCTGTGTGTCCCTCACTCGACCCTCAGGGAATATCAGCACCTAAAGCCTGGGCAAATCCTACCCCGACCTTACCATGGCATGCTCTGGGTGCAGCAGGTCTGCTGCAGAGCCGAGGATGTTACAGGACAAAATTCCAGACTAGGGGGTGTTCGTGGGGGGTGGACTTCTTTGTAGCTCTGTTCCTTCCAGAACCAACCCCACCTGCTCTCAGTGCGGGCCAGGGTTTGGTGGGGGTCTGCGCCAAGTTTACTAGACTGCCACAAGTAAGTCCAGAAATTGACAGTAAGAAACTTTACAGCCATTGACTTTGCTGTGCCATTTGAGTGACATTTTCATTTCATAGCAATTACTTTTTACTGTTTTACAAATCTATTGACCCATAATAGTTCGGGGAAAAATAATCATTTGAGTCCTCAGCACGTAGAAGTTTGAGAAATATTGATTTAGAGCAAAGTGAATGAGGGAGAGGGGACAAAGAAATTTAAGCAGAGGGAAATGAAATGAAGTAGCTCTCTGCTTCCCAGATTAAATGTGTTTTCACCATTATGAGTACTGAGGTTCTTCTCTTCGTCTGAATTTAAAGTGGGTTTCATGGCTGGTAAATATTTTACTGAAGGCTTTTAGAGAGGTGCTGTCCTCTTCTGACGGCACTCCATCTAGTCAGTGCATGGAATGGGTCATGGAATTGCTCTTCTCTGTGGGATGTGACTGATGCAGCAGTCCCAGCCCCAGGTCAGGGTCAGGAGCCCACCCCAGTAGCCATTGACCACTAGGCCAGTTATTCACAGCAACCTAGATGGAGCCACACCTGGGGAATTGACAGAGGGGGCAGATGGCCCCAGGGAAGGCAGGCCCAAGAGGAGCAGACCCAGCTGGCAGGCTGCCACCCGTGTTCTCTGCAGAATGAGCCAGAAGACAGAGGCCTTCCATAGGCACTCCGCGTACTGGGGTTTGGGAGTGGTCAAACATAAACCCCCAGGCTCACACAACCAGATGACGATGGGAATCCAAAAGGAAAAGGTGCTGGTGGGTGGGGGAGACAGGCAGAGACAGGCAAGGGAGGGGGCTACCAGGTAACCAGGCAGCTGCCATTACTGAGCACTGACTCTGGGCTGGCACCAAGCTCAGTGCTTCATGTGGATTATCTCATTTAATGCTCAAAACGAAGCTACACGTCATTGTATAGGTAGACAAACTGCGGTCTAAAGACCAGATGCTTCCTCAGTTAGAAAGCTGAGATTTGGGTCCAGAGAGGCTTTGCTCCAAAGAGTTTACACTTAGCCACAGTGCTGTGCTCCTGAGCGCCTGCTGCCTCCACCCAGCAAAGGTTTCCACCCCAAAGCCAAGCAGGGCCAGGACCACAGGACCAGACTCAGGGCAGATCTTCATCAGGGACAGGGTGGGGATCTATAAGATCACAACAGAAGACCTGCCCTGGGCACCAGCTTGGTTACCATGGCTGAGGAGGGGCCCAGCCAGCTGCTGGAAGGTAGGGGGAGAGAACTCACATAGGTAGCTGCAAGAGGGGGAACCGACGCTGTGGAGGCTGCTTGGACAGGAGGCCATCCTCACCCACCCCACTGCCTCTGGCAAACAGATTTAATTATCCAAAACCCCTCCTGCCAGAGGGCTGACTATAAGGGCAGGCTCACCTTGAGGACAATCTCTGGTGACTCCCCACAGCTGGACCCATCGCCCAGCATATTACGTAGAAATGTCCTAGGTACGACTCATCCTGAGTCCTCCCATCTCAGGGGGACCATCACATACATGGATGGACTCCCCTTCTAACATCCCATTTTCAGAGCCATAGTAAAGTACCACCAGCGACTCTCAACAGCTAGAGGACAAGCCCTAGGGTCCTGGTTCTAATGACAACTTGCATTGTCACTTTGGCCAAGGTGCTCAACCCTGCAGGCTCCTCCCTCATCTGGGAAATGAGCAAAGTGACAGCTCAGCTGTGAAAACCCGCTTGGCTTTTCCTTACGTTCTGTTAATATTTGTGTTCATCCCTGCTAGGGAAGGAAGCCAGACGATGATTAGTTTTAAACTTGCTGACTTGTGACTGGTTGGTCATGAACTCCCAGACTACATAGAGAAAAGCAAAAGATTTGGAAGAAGGTGAACTAACATGGTTTTGTTTGGTCCATGAGAGTCAAGGGAAGAGCTGACAGGCAAGATGGCTCTTCTGCCTCCTCTTTTTTTGTATTTTTGGAAATGAAGCATCCAGTGTTGTTGGGTTTTTTTTCTTCCTTTCATCCTTTCTTGCCTCCTTCTTCCCCTCCACTAACCTCAGGCTTGACTCAAAAACATGCAAACTGCTTCTTCACAATAGCACTCCCCTACCCCAGGACTGACTCCTCGTTACCCCAGATGCACTTTGTAATTCATCGTGACTTGACTTCCAACTCCAATCTCAGTGAAAAATCTTGAAGGAAAGAATTGCTCACAGGTCAGGGAGTGATTACATCCTCCTGTTGGCTGTAGGCTCTGAATCTGTTTGGGGGAAAGAGTTGATAGTTTGTACAATTTGGCTGCCTTGTGCAAACAAATTAGCTTTCAGACTTATTTTAAAAGAGGGGAGGAGCATCAAACACAGACTTAAAAACATCTAGGATCTGCTGAAGAAACTTATAATTGGGGCATGGTTTTTAAAGGTGCTGCCGTGATAGCTGAGTGACTTGTCATGCTGGGTGTCGCTGGTTCTCCATTGAAAACTACCTCTTTGGGTGCCAGATTCTGAAGCGTGCTGGCCTGAGCCACTGAGACTGTCAGGACGTTCTACCTGGGGCGCCAGGGAGTGGCATATGTAGGTTGGCACAGGCTGCAGGACATCAAGTCCTGTGTGGAACAAGGTGAAGCTGGAATTTTCTAGGGAGGCTGAGCTGTGGCATGCTGGAATCAGGAAACACGGGTTTACAGCTCCTGCATCTACCATGACGCTATGGGAGAAAGTGTAGGCAGGAGAACTCTAAAGCAAATCCAGGTCTACACCAAATGCCTGGCACATCACGTGCGATCAGTAAAGGTTTAATGAACCTAGAAGTGATGTGGCTTATATTGAGCAAGGCAGCTGACTGTTCTGTTTATTGGCACCTGCTTTTTGCCCTGGGCTTCGGACAATCCCAAGGAGACATTTTAAAGTGGTAGTTTATATTAGACTGGCACTGATAAATTCACCCAGGACAAGCCACACGATGGAGAAGAGGAGAAGGGAAAACTATGGCAGAGCCATGCTAGCAGCAAGGAAAATTCAAAGCTGCATAGGTTGGTTGGGAACTCAGTTTGCCATCATCTGACTATTTCCAGAATCCACCCAAGACCACTCTGTAGAGAGCGATCATTCCGATCCATGCTTCTGAGTGTGTAGTGTGCACAGCACCTACCTCCTCCGAGAGGCGTTCCAGGACCCCCTCCGCCAAACCAACATCTCCCTCCTCTCCTCTTCCAACCTGCCTTATCTCCTCCAGTGCACTTGTCACTGCCTGGTTTATATTTGTTTGTTGTTCGTCTCCCTCACCAAAATATAAACCGCAGTGGCTTTGTCTCACTCTCCAGTCTCCCCAATGCCTGGACTAGTGCTGGCACATAGGAGACCCCCAATAAATATGTGGTGAAACGCTAACCCAGACTAGTTAGTGCTACCGGCAGTCCAAATGCCAGCCTGTGTCCCCACCACCCTCAGTAAAGGAGCCTACATATTTTCCCATGGAGGAAGCCACTTTGCTTATATCTTAATTCTTAATATTCCAGCAGCACGTGTCATGTGAGTTGGGGTTTAACATTATTAGTCACATCTCATTTTGGTCGTGTTTACCAACATGCAATGCAATCTTTATAGATTTCCTAAGGATCTCTAGAACATGCCCAGGGGGTAGGCAGTGATGAAGTCTTTATCAGCTTTCCATTCTCTCAGTGATTTTAATGCCTCAAATAAACTTAAGAGATTGAACAGTAAATTCTTTATTTCAAAAAACATGAGGACTAAATGCTACACATTATCTGGTTTGGATCCTAGAACAGAAAAAGAACAGTTGTGGAAAAAGTGATAAAATCCAAATAAAGTCTGCGGTTTAGTGATGTACCAATGTTACTTTCTTAGTGTCCATGAACAGGCCTGAGTTACGAAACATTAGGGGAAGCTGGGTGAAGGGTATCCATGAATCTTATGTATTGTCTTTATCATTCTTCTATAAACATAAAATTACTTTGAATTTAAAAGGTTAAGGAACAAACGTAGGAATGCAGGACAAACAGAGCGTAACAGAATCCAAAAATCCCAGCACTGGAAGGATTCCCAGTGTAACCCAGAGCAAACTCCTGACATCATAGTTTGGGGATTAAGGCCAAGAGCATGGAGCAATTAAAAAGAATTACAGAAATAATTGTACCAAGCATAGGTCCTATGGCCCTAACCTTAATTCATGAGGTGACTTATCATTTAAAATGTAGTCCTTATTTATACTTTCAGTTGCTCATTCACTCACTACCAAAAACGTATTATCACAAACTTTCCCAGACTCTCAGAATATGAAGAAGAATAGAATATTATCTATGCCCTTGAGTTACTTACAGTCTAATCTTATTTGATCTTCACTGCAATCAGGTGTTAGCTGTTACCTCTGTCTCACATAAGGAGAATTGCCCATGCATTGCTGGTGGACGGCAGAGGCAGAACCCAACCCAGCCAGCCCCATGCCACAGTTCTACAAGTGATATGAAATGTGGGTGACATTTTTGTTCTTGGAGAGGGCTGTAGTGAGTGCTCACCTAAAGAAGATATCAGATCCACATAAGAATGGCTTCTGAGGGTAAGAAGGCTGAGTGTGGGAGGACGGGACTGTGGCAGATCTAGGACTCTCGCCAACTTCCCCTCTAGGCCACTCTCCTAAGTGCCAGGAATCAATTGTCCAGGGGAACTTGTGCTTTGCAAAAATGGCTGTGGGTTGTTCTTGTAAAAACGGC